TCTGTGTGTGTGTCTGTGTGTGTGTGTATGTGTGTGTGTGTGTGTCTGTTTGTGTGTCTGTGTGTGTGTGTGTGTGTCTGTGTGTGTGTGTGTGTGTGTGTCTGTGGTGTGTATGTATGTATGTGTGTGTGTGGTTATATGCGTCACAAATTTTGCACTTTTTATCCTCCTGTGCTAAGGGTACAGGAATCTACCATATACCTAGTTGTGTGGTGGTGAGGATGGAACCCAGGACCTTATGGGTACTCAACAAGTACTGATATAACTGAGCTACATTCCCAGTAAACCCATTCAGGTTTACTGTCTTATTGAAAAAGGAATTGGGCTTCTGAGATGTAGTTAGACTCGAGAGAAAGCAGCCGATACAGGAGCACCAGCCATGGTTCTTTTCTGGCACATATCTGTAGGGGAACCTGTAGCCATGCCTGCTTAGGGTGTGGCTAAAGGTTCCCCTACACATATCCTTGTTCCTTTGCCTGGGGAGTTGCCAGGCATTCTGCACATATATGAGTCTGTCTTGATTTCAGAAGTGGCTTGTTTGGTTTTGATGTATTATGAAACTAGACAACATGGCCATTGAATCTATCAAGAGGAACTGGCCACAGTCCCTGGGGTCTTGAAAAGGAGTATGTCTTTGACATGTCTTACAGAAAATTAGACAGCAAAAGTAGCCTAGTAAGATTTGAGGGACCAACAAGTGGGCATTTTCTTTTAGGCAAAGAGGTGAGGGACTGTCCAAGGTTTTCACATTTTGTATCATCAAAAGACCCAGGAACCAAGGCTTGAGTGGTCTGCCGACAGGCACTGACTGTATTCATGCATTCTGGCTCATGGGGTTATTCCACATCCTGCTAGGATGCAGACAATTGGGTTTATGCAGTCATAAGAACAACAGAACTCTGATGTGGCCATGATGAGGTGTCATTCCTGGTGTGCAGATTAAGCCTGCTTGGATTGCACTTGGTACACTTTATGGGAGAGCAGGCTCTTGCTGACATAGCTAATTTAATCTGGTCTTTGCCCCCTTCTCTTCCCCCTTTAGTGTGCCCCTGACTTCCATGGAAACATGCCCAGGTCCTGGCAGCTGGCACCATTACTGATATGGTCAAAACCTAGCCCTCGAGGGACTCAGAGGGTGGCAGACCCCAGGAGGAAGGCTTTTCTGCATTACCACATCCACAGCCTTGCTTTCTGTCAAGCCCACACCCCTGAACCTCCCGGACTCTCTTTAGGTCCAAAGAGAGCTGTATTATTTGCAGCAACATCCAAACCCAGTCTAGGCCTTTGCTCTTGCTCAGCTTGGGGTCTTATGCCTGGAGAACAGATGAATAGCCTTATATGGCCCACTCTCACTAGCCTCTCTGCCAGCCACAGAGAAGGTAAGAAGAGAAAATAGAGTACAAAGAACCCATTGGCCCTGACCAGATTCTCTTCCTCCTCTGATGCTGAGGCCACTCCTCAGCACTGGGTCCCTGTGAAGAAACAGGATGAAAGGCCAACCCTAAATAGCCACTTTTCCTCTACTGATTAGAGAACACTGACTATCTTTCCTCCAGCAAACAGCTTGAAAAGTCATTACGACTTGGCTTATGTCCTGCTGCCCAATATGTCCTGATGTTACAGCAGGAAGGTAGAACATTTTCACTCTCACCTTACAGATAAAAAATTGAGGCAGCCCAGAGAAATTAACTGATTTGCCCAAGATCTGATAGCTACTAAGGTGTAACAAACATGGTCCAATCCTAAAGCAGCTGGTTCCTTGAGCCCTCACCCTATGCCCAAGCCATCTGCCTACCCCCAAAGGTGTATTGCCTGAGATGTGCTTCAATCCTACCCTCTCAATTCTACAGTGCTGGCTCAGCTCCACAGTAGTCTCCATGACACTGTTGGAGTTTCCTTGCTGCAAGCTGTCTTCTCCAGAGTTAGTCTTTCCATTAGCACTCAATAGTGCGCCCTTAATAACGGACTACAACAGACAGTGACAGCCCACAAATTCCATATTCTCCAGTTGAGCAGCCATGGCTCTACAGATAGGTGTGGCATTCAGCTGTGGAATGTGTGCTTATTCCCTGGCCTCTACATTCAGAACTCTACTGACTCTTGCCATTCCTGATACCTGAAGGGAAACTGCATGATCTTGGTGTGCTAACATCACAAAGGGCCTCTGTGAGTTCATTTTCTGTTATTGTGATGCAGTACCTGAGGCTTGGTGCTTTACAGAGGAAAGATATTCATTTAGTTCTGGAGACTCAAGGTCATGGTTTTAGCAGTGCCTTAGCTCAGGTAAGGATCTCATGGCTGGTGGTATCACTGTGGCAGGCAGGAGAACCTGTGTGTCGGAGAGACAACTTACATGATGAAATGGGAAGCCAGGGAGAAACCAGAGCTGGCCTAGACTTGCTTTTGGGTAACTAACACTCATGCGAACTAACCAGGTTCTCCCAAGACATTAAATCTATCATAAAACAGTTCTCCCAATGATCTAATTGCCTTTCATCAAACCTTGCTTTGTGTGTGTGTGGGGGGGGTGAGGGATATGGGTATGGGTGTGTGGGTAGAAGGAGGTGACTATAGATGTGCATGTGGAAGTCAGAGGTCAACATTGGGTATATTTATCACTGTTTGCCTTACTTTATGAGATAGGATCTCTCAGAAAACTTAGAGTTCATCAATTTGGCTAGATTGTCTGGCCAGCAAGCCTCAGGGATCCTGCTTATCTTTGCTAGGAATAAGGGTATGTTACCATTCTAAGAGTGACTGAGCTATTTCCCCATCCCCCAAACTGTTATAATTTAAGAAAAATAGCATGCTAGAGAAAGATGCCATGAGACAGGGTTCAAGCAGAGGGTTTTTTTTTTGTAATTAGGGAAAGGGATCCTAAAAAAGGGGAAAGGGAAGGGGGAAATCAACCTCCAGAGGCAGGAACAGCAGGAGAGAGGAAAGAGAGAGAGAAGGGAACAGACAGACAGACAGAAGGAGGAAAAAAAAGATAGAGACAGAAGTATGGCAGGTGGGCAGGGCCCTTTTACTAGACAGATGCTTAAACCAGCTAAGTGACGGAGCCCACACAAGGGCAGGGCCCTTTTAAAAGGAACATAGTGAATATGCACAGGCTGTGCTCTTAGTGGCTGCAGCTGAGAGCATATCCTGTCAGAACTCCAAGGACAGGCCAGTACAGATGCCTGAATACTAACACAAACTTCAGTTCTTACAAGTCCCACTATCTCTTAATATTGCTATGTGGGACCAAGCTTCCAGCACAAGAGGCCTCAGGGGACAAACCACATGCAAACTCTAGAGGTGACCCACACGCCATTACAAATTCACATATTGACAAATCTGTGTTTGTCTTTGTCCTCAGGAGCCCACTGAATCCACTAATAACAGATTTCAAAACCAAACATCATGAGTAACCCAGCATTAGGAGACAATGGAAAAGGTGAGCCTGGGTTACATGTTATCTCAGACAAATCCTTAGAGGGACATGAACATTGCCCAGGCAGCTAATGGATGACCTCATAATGGGAGGGCTGGCAAGGGCCCTGGGACTAGGGTTCACCTTTTAAGGCTCTTAGGCTTGCTTCTGCCAGGGAAACCTTTGTCACCCGGTGAAGAGGAGCGCAATAATGTCCTAAAACAAATGAAAGTACGAACTACACTGAAGGGTGACAAGAGCTGGATCATCAAGCGTGAGGACTCAGAGGACCATACTATGTAAGTCCAGGAGGCAAGGCCAGAAGGGAAGGCAGCAAGCAACATTGGGGTTGGAGCCATGGGACCCAACCCCAGGTGAGATGCTGAGGACATTTCACCATTTAGAGCTGAGTCAGGCTGTGTGTCCACTGGCCAGCCAGGTGAAGGTACAACCTGAACATAGCCACAGATGAGACAATCCTAGATACTGAGAGGTGTGTATAGTCACATACCTGTAAAGTGGGTAAGGAGAGGAGAGGTGGTGCATAGCACGCCAACTTTGGGATGGAGCCACAGGGTAACAGGTGGCAAAGAACATGTGAACCACTATATTCAGGTCCTGTCTTTCCACAGAGAGCTTCCTTCACGACAAACCCATGCAACATCATCCTCATCAATTGGAGAAGTATCAAATGCCAGGTAAGAGGTGGTACCTAGCTGACTTTTAAATGGACCCCAGAGGCTCTTCTGCTGCAAGGAAGGGTAGACATCACATAAGAAAAAAAAAAAAAAAAAAAAAAAAAAAAACAGGGTCTGTAGGACTAAATGCTGGGGCTCTGTGGTACGCTTAGACTGAACCTTGATGTTCCAGCCTAGAGCTCTCATAATGCTGGATAGGATTATCTACTGAGTCCTTGTCCTCTTGTCAACTCCTCAGAGGGGGCCCTATTGCCTGCCCCAGCCCATACCCCCTTCTCACTACTTCTAGTATGCTCTCTTCAGTGCCCTCCAAGTCATCTGAACCCCTCTGTTATTGACAAATGGCAAGCCCCAGTACCCAGAAACTAATGTTTTCTATCTATTGAGCAAGCCTGAGGCATACCTTTTGGTTTCACACTTCCATCACCATTTGGGATGTGAGTGCCCTAGGGACCAGAGGAGGGAACATTCTAGAGGAATGGAACAGGAAGGCCATGGGGCCTTACCTTCTATTTACTTCAGGCCCAGCTTGGGGTTAGCTTGGGTTCTGGCCAAGGGACTTTTAGTCTGATCCAGGAGAGAATAGGCAGAGCTCCTTTAAGTGCCCTAGTGCCTAGAAGAGCAGAAACTTCTCGAACTTTTCAATAAATGTGAAAACATAGAGCAAGCCTGTCTGGAACCCTGTTGTAAGTCGGGGCTATGCTGGACACGGCTGTGGAGGGATCAGCCATGGCAGTATTCCTGGGAGAGATTGAAGGAGAGATAGGTGGAGCTAAGTGAGTACCCGGTCACTATATTGAGATACCTATCAACAGTAGTTGGGGACAGAATGCAATAAGCTGGCTTGAGCTCTGTAGTGAGGGCATTGTTCCCCTCATGCCTCCTTTTCTCTTGGCAGGACTCCAAACACAAAGGTTCCCGCGGGTTACATCATCCGGTAAGTGACGTCAAGACTACCTGCATCCTTATACCACTACCACCACACTCAGACTTCTCAATATCTTCTGGTATCTCTTGTAGGGGAGTGTTCACCAGAACAATAGACAGCTCTTCTCACTCCCAAAAGCACCTCTCTAAGACCAATGGAGCTCCAAGAAGGTACATCCTTGGTGTGCTGGCCAGATGGTCAATAGGACAGTGGAAGAGCCTTGTCCAGTGCCAAGTCCAAGGAGTATGGGAATGTCCTGTCTGGCTCTGGCCACTGGCCAGGGGCAGTGGCTGGGAGGGGAACTCTGGAGAGAGATGTAGATTGTCCCATGCACTTAGTTCCCAGTATGCCAAGGCATCATGTTATGTAAACACCTCGGTTATCAGTCAGAACTGGGGCTCCATTGGAGAAGATACAAATGAGAGCCCAGTGGGCTGTTTCATTGGGACTTAGCTGGGTCTGCCCTACTCAAAATGTCTGGCAGGGCTGACAACAAACAAGAAAGTCTCCTAGTGGTCCATGTCCTGTCTCTCCTGGGCTGTGTGGGTAAACTTAGAGGCAAGAGGGGACCCGTGGTTGGGCAGATGGAAATATCTTACTCTTCTAGTGCTTCTGGACTTCTGGGAGCAGCTAAGTCTGGTCTTCCGCATCACTCTTCTGGTTATAAGATCACTACGGAAGATTATAAGAAGCTGTGAGTATACAATGATCCCAGACAGTGGACCTACTGAGGGCAAGTGGACACTTACCCTCTGAGTTAGTCACTTACCTGGGGAGAGCTAGTCCTATTGGCTTGACAGCCCCTGCCACTTATAGCTGTGCCCTAGAGCAGAGCTCTAGAAAATTGAATGGCCATGCCTAATACACTAATATGACGCAAAGCAAAGACTGTAAGAAGCTTCTGGAAGGAGCCCATGGGTCTTGAGAATGGACAGTGAGCCATGGCCATGGGGAGTGCTACCCACTGTCTTTGTTTCCTAGATGTACCCCTGTGCCCCTTCAGGTCTCAGATTCTCAGGCTGGGCTGGGTTTAGCTGAGCTGTGCTTGGAGGCATGATGTTTCTTATGTTATCACTGTCCCCATAGACTATTGGTGTGGGCATTTTGTGTCTAAAGCTGAGCTTCCCTTAAGGTTCCTTCCAAGGCTCTGGCCAGGGAAGGGAGCTCTGGACAAATGCCTGTATTGTGCCGGCACTTCCCAGGACTCCACATCTTTATACAGCTTATTCCTTGCCCCATCATCGTGTTTCATGGAACAGCTGGCAGATATTTCTAGGGAATTAGTGAGACTGTTGGCTATTGAGGGACAGAAAACAGGATAAAGCTCAAGGTTGCAACAGCAATGTGTTGGAACTGGCAGTCAAGAAGCCAAGATGCTAAGGGGAGTAGCCTGTAACAGGGACTAGGAAGGAAATGGATGAAGAAGAGTCATACCTGCTTCTCTTCCCCCACAGGGCACCGCACAACATCAGACACAGCTCCACATCAGGGACTGAGGAAGAGGAGGTGCCCTTCACCTCAGATGAACAGAAACGGAGGTAATGGTGTCCCTTATAAGCATACCCATGAGTAGGGCAGGAGCCAGAATCTTAACAGACTGCTGAAAAGAATTATACTAGCCAGAGTACAAAATACATAGCACACAAGCCATGAGGTCACCCCATGGTGTATGGGTACAGTTGTCATTCCACAAGTTTATGAGGTACTTCTCAGTGCTGGGCCAGCTCAAGTGACACTTCTGAGAACCTTGTAGGGCTAGAATCTAGGGAACACATAGGTCCGTGAAAAGACTCATGTGCAGATTCAAAGGAAGTTAATTAATATTCAGGGTAAAGTGCACTAGGAAAGGCCTTCTGTACTTTGCTGTCTCTGGGTGTGTTGTGTTTGCAGTGTACTTTGGGTGCAGGAATGGTCTCCAGAGTTTCAAATGCCTCTTACTTATAAAAAATTCAGTTGCAGGGCAGCATCTGCCAACCCATATATGGTTTGAAGCATAGTGACAGTCTCCTACTGAAGGCCTTGGAAGGCTGGCAGTGCTATGCAAAAAGACCACAGTTGCATGAGGCTTGAAATATCTATAGTGCAGAGGCAGAGGAATGAATAAGAAACCATTCTGCCACCTGCTTAGCTTAGGCAAATCACCAGAACAGTGGCCAGGCTCAGTCAGTCAGTCATGGAGTATGTCAGCACCTACTTGCCTGGTTGTGAGGCTCAATGAACCAGTGTGAGAATTTCAGCATGCAGAGCAGGGCTGGGCACATGCGATACACTCCCCGAGTTAAGGGTCCTTCCTTCAGTGTCCATGGTTTTATAGCAGTGCTTGCTACCCTGGCTTATGCTCCTAAACTACCAGGGGGTACTCCTGAGTCAGCTAAGTGAACATTCTAGGCTAGACTGACAGAGTGGCTAGTTTGACACACATCAGATGCCCCCACCTTGTACTACCCCAGATCACAAGCTGCAAGCAGTGTTCTAAGGAAGACAGCCTCACGGGAGCACTCTTATGTCCTCTCGGCAGCTAAGAAGAGCACTAGGTGAGTTGTCTCAGAATGAGGCCCAGCAGGCTTGAGCCTGCCTTGGCCATTACTGACTCCATGACCTGGGGTCCTTCTCTTCCGCTTGGGGCTTCAGCTTTCCTTTGACTAGTGAAAGAATAAGGGCATTCCACCTTGACCTTCACAGGAGCCTCAGATGCACTTCTTAGAATAAAAGCAGGAGGTAATGGGAATAGGAGAGTCTCTAAGATGGCACCTGTCCTTGAGCCTTTTCCAACATGTGCCCATTCTGCTTCCTTTCTAGCAGTCCTACCCAGGAGCTGCAGGCCCCATTTATTGCAAAAAGGTAAGTATCACTAAGGGAAGCCTCAGGAGCCAGATGTTATCCAGGCAGCAAGCCTCCTGTCAGTAGGGTATAGAGAAAAGGAAGGTTTCTGTCTCTGAGCAAAGACAGTTGTCCTTTCCAACCATAGCAAGAGTCATCTTCTCTTGCCCTGCCCTGTGCTCTCCTGTCACCCAGAACCAGGACCAGAACCACCAAGAGAAACTCCATGGGGGCCGACTGTGATGTTACTGATTAGTCCTGTAGGGCAAACATGGTGAAAACTAGGTCAATTTCTGTAGGAGGAAAATGTTGGATAGAACATGGAGAAGAAACGTGTGAAGGTGAATCTTGGATTGGGGCTTTTAGTTGAGTGGAGTTCAAAGGCCTTCCAGATAAAGTGGCATACATAACAAGCTATAGGTGGCAAGTCATCGATGAAGCAACAATTCCAAATATGCCAGACCAAGACCTACCCAGTACAAAGGCCCAGAGTGGAAATATGGTGGTGTTGTTGAATGACAGTAGCTAACTAGGCTACAGTGAGCACAGACAAAGTAGCAAAGAATAACGTGTGCTTATTAGCTGTTATTAATGGAGAAATCTACCACCAGCAGGGTGGCTTAAAACCCCAGAAATGGAGGTCAGAAATCTGAAGCTGAGGTGTTGGCATGATTGGAACAAATTGTATTTGCCTCACCAGGCTACTGTTTTCATTAGTGTCAGAAGGACATTGACATTAGATTCAGGGTGTATCCTAATTTAGTGGGACCTCATCTTATTCTTTTTATATCGTCTAAGAACTTATTTCTAGACAAAGCTCCCTGAGTTCCAGGGAATATTCAATGGCAATGTCCTACCTCCTCACCCTGAGCTGGGGTGGCCAAGGTTTCAGTCACTCGTCTCATCTAGATACTGGTGAAAGCATATTGGTCAAAGGCATGAAGCACCAAGGTAGGTGAGAAGACCACATTTTTCTTGCCTACAGGGTTGATGTGGTGGATGAGGACATACCTCCTGAGAAAAAACAGGAGACACCTACTCTAGCAGTTCCTGTTTCTGGCCTAAACAGGTAATCAGTTACTCACCATAGTCTGTGACACACTGGACACTGCAGAAGTGGCATCCCATTGTTAAGCTTGCTCCTGGTACTTCTCTAACTTGCCCAAGTTTACCCTACCTAGGAGACAGACCTGTTGTCTCCAGCACATCTCACGTCTGCCTTCTTTGCCAGTATGGATAGAGACAGAACCCAAGTGTCTCAAGCAGTTCGAATTGAGTGCATGGCAAGTGTGCCCAGACCCTCTGGAAGCCAGGAATCCAGGTGAGTGTCAGGAACCAGCTCTGCGCTATGAGCTGGTAACATGGTTTCCACTGATCTGGTTGGCTGTGTTTGGCAACCAAGGAAGGTCTAGCAGTGGGATGATAGTGCAGGGTCATCTAAGTCCTGCCCGTCTCACTACAGGTAGGGATATGCTTTGCCCCGATTCCAAACCCTGAGCGTTCCAGTAGCTACAGATGACTAGACCTCAGTGCTTCCTTGTACTTTTCACTGAATGGTGCTGAGTCTGACAGGGGATACAAGCTTTTCTGTTGCTCTTACTTTCATCCTGGATTGAGTCTTTGGATAATGTCATGGTTTTCTAAGGACCATCTCTTCATGGCACCCTGGAAAAACCCCTGAAGCCAGAACAGGAAGAGGTCTATTCTTATAAAGTCAGTTTCCAGGGTCCCCAGTGTCCATTTAGGATGGAGACTAAGGGACAGAGTTAAGCAAGCAGATTTCGCCTTCCATAGGCTGTGATCTAGGTTATGGATTGCCTACCTCTTTGTTTTCATCCTGCCCCTACAAGTCTACCTCTCTGCTTTCAGGCTACTACCTCCCATGCCCTGGAGACTTTTCTAAAATGTCAGCCTGACCATGTCAAGCCCTCACCTCCAGTTCAAGCCCATCTCACAGCATCCCATTACCAGATGGGAAGCCCATCTAGAAGCCCCTTTATTTTCTGAGTGATCAAGCATTAGCTCAGAGTGGGAAACTGGCGATACCCTTTCACAGGCCTGTGGGTCAGTGCTTGAGCTTAGCTACAGTACCAAGAAAGCTCAAAAACAGAGCAGATGAGGGCAAGGAGGGGGAGGAAAATGGGTCTGGGTATCACACTGTAGTGAAGCACCAGATGGAGAATGCTCTTGGATGCTGACACAGACCGAAAGAGGAAGCTTCTCTCTCAGAAATTATCCAGACTGTCCTTTGGCCTACAGCTTGAGAACTGAGGAGATCGTCCATTTGCAAATCACAACCCCCAGAGCAGGACTCCACCTGGTGGCCTCAGACCTGGAAACCCTGAGGTACTGGAGCCCCATTGCTGTCCTGCCTCCATTTACGCCTTTCTTAAGATGAGCAGAGAGGCAGGAGGCTACCTCTGCCACTATGGGGATGACTGGTTAGTAGGAGTTGTAGCCAATCTGGGTTCTCCATCACTGTCTCAATATTTTATTCAACAATAATTATATAATGAGTGTTTGGTTTTTGTGAGGCCAAAGACCTTGCCCTGGGACTCCCTAGGCCAGAACTACTGACTCTGATGAAGGACACAGATGCTAATATGGACTACATCAGCCTACAGTACTGACTATACGATGTACCCCAATGTCCTCAGAAAGTGACAGGCCAGGCCAGCAGAGCTGGGTGGGGACACTGGGTCTGTGTGATCCATTATTAAAACCAGGGTTTTAATTACGTAGCTAATAGAAGATGGCATTGGGATAGGGTCCTTGGGTCTGCCTCCATGGCGCATAATTCCACAGTACCCTGTGCTTAAGATGAGGATAGATGAAGGGGCCACATCCATCAGGAAACACAAACCTCCAACCCCTTTCCTGAGAGAAGCAGTGGGGTGGACAGCCAGGAAACAGGCTAGCAGGATCAGAGACTAGGGAGCACAGCATTGGGGCCTTCTGAACATCAGGTGGCACATCTAGAAAATGGGTGTGAAGGACAATATTACCCATATCTTGAAGCTGAGGTGGAGAATTAATGTGAGGAAAGATAGAAAAATAGAGTCTGGCCCCTAGTCAACAACAGTGACTAATAATGAGGATTTGTGAGTTGGCTAGCCCATCATTAGCAAGTTTTTAGCTCCTAAGAGACAGTTGGTATTTAAGGATGGGATAACCATCAGAGTATGGGTGGTTAAGGAGTAGTTAAGTCATATCTTTGCTCTATAAGTCTTCCCACAAAAGCAATGAAGTATCACTCTCTGAAGAATTAAAAAGAGATTCAGCTTGTGAGAATGAAATTAAGAATTGCAATACAGCCTCTGGAAGGTAACTCACTGCAGGAAGTAGATTTTCTCCCTAATATAAAGCCCATGTGCACTCAGCCAAAGAACTTCCATGAGCCTGGGTCCAAAGTCAGTTAGTAGCTTAAATACAGACCAGCACTATACTATTGCTGGATATCTGCAGAGGGAAAAGTAAAAGCAGAAAGGGGGTGGGTCTATAGAAAGCAAAACTGTAATATTTCTCAAGATATCAAATTGCAGAGGAGAACCAAGTCCAGACCAGTCTGTCCCTCTCACGGTCCTTTGTCCCCCACCCCTTCTCATTTGGGAGCCCTAGACCCCTGGTGTGATCCCCAGGAATGAGGGAAGGGGGTCTTAGATAAATGGGGAAGTTTGTCTGCCCTCTCTGACTTACTAGCAGCCCCGAATTCCTTGTCTCTTGTTCTGTTGACCATTGACCACCAATGTGAGTACCTGCCCCCTAGTTTCCAACCCATTTTGTTTTCATTCATGTTCCTAATCTATTAAATTTGAATGAAAGAGAAATACTTGCTGAGAAAGTCCACTTAGGCTTGGATTGGCTCTGATCAGAGCAATTTAGTGAGGCAACCAAAGACTTCTGCTCCCAAGTCATGAGACATACTCTCAAGACATCTAAATTACACAAAGTCAACAAATTCTTCTCTTCCAATATTAGATCACGTGCACAGTTGAATGATGGCAGTGAGGAACCAGGAGCCACAGAATCCCCACCAGAAGGTCTGGCTGGAGCAGGCATTGGCACAGGGAAAAGAGGGTGAGATGCTAGTGGGACACAATTCTCTCAGATCCCTGGTGAGAGGCCAGATTCAAGCAGCAAAACTACTTGGGCGGCTGGGACTAGGACTCCTCTGTATTGCCCCCCCCACATCCTTTGCTCTTGGATTTTTTTACTTCTTGATGGACTTACTTCCCTTCCAGTCTAGGCACTCCCACACCTCCATCATCGACTCTTAAATCCCTGCAGAGCAAATACAAGCACCTAACTCATAGCTTTTGGTCCATCCCTCAGCATGGACTAGCCTTGGGTAGAATGAATGTGTAAGGAAGGTAGAAGAAACAAAGTAACAAATGACCTAATAATGGAAGAATAAGTGCCTTCTCACTTCATGACTGAGCTCTGAGGACAAATTCAGGGGTGCCTAGTCTCTTATTTCTCCCTTTCCAGAAGAGGAAGAAGCCCCTAAATCTCTTGCTTGCCCCACACTCTTCCCTGATCAGTGAAACAAGCTAGGATATAAGAATGCCCTGACTGAGTCATGAGCCACTTTTATCAGGTGATTTGAGGAGTTAACAAGGGTATCTCCATGTGGTTCCAAACCAAACTGGAGTCATCCCTGGAGACAAAGGCTAGTTATACAGTTACTGGCACAAATAATAGTGCAGTTTCAAAATGTGCTAGCAACATTATGGTTGGTCTGTAGAGAGCTGAAACTGCTAGAGGGCCAGCCCAACCCTGTGACCTCCTGAAGTCTACCCAGGAGGATCTTGTGAGGATGCTCTTCTGGCTGCTTCCCCAACTGGTTCTCTTAGCAGGTTCATTTGCTCACTAACATACCCAGCTGCAATGGGTACCTGGAACCAGATACAGTAGGCCTCACCTCTGAAATCTGTGTTTCTGAGCAGGTCTAGGAAAGGCCAGCGGGCCAAGGACTCAGTTCTTGTATCATTTTTGCTGTCTGTGCAGGCATCAGAGAAATCTTCCCAAAATAAACCAGGATAATTTATCCCCTCTTTCAACTTCCCAGTAGCTTCTCACTTCCTTGAACAAGTGGAGACTCTACATACAGCCTTTTCTTTCTCCTGTACTACAGTGGTGCACACTGGTTCAGTGTGCTGTTGTCTGCTATAGAAGACATCTGATCCAGTATGATTGGGCCTGGCTCTGGGTGACTTTCTCTTTGACTATTTATTGGAGTCACCCTTCCTGTTTATACACCCTCATAAAAGCTGTTGTCTGCCCCAACAAGGAGGATTTGGGGAGACAGATCTCAGGGATAGACAGCCACCACTAGAAGGCTGAGTCTTAGAAAACAGTTCTCTGGGAATGGCAGTGATTTTAGTGGGACAGAACACTCTCTCTTTACTGCAAACTCAGTCCTTCCTTGTCCTCTGAGAAGGCAACTGGCAAAGGGGAAGCCATGGACACCAGTCTCTGCTGTTCTGAGCCTCATCAGACCTTTGTGCTTCCTATCCTCAGGTTTGACACGATGATAAGTTCTTTCCTGGATAACAAGAAGAACAACAGTGCAGCAGACCTGGAAAATGAAAAGACAGACCCTAAGGGGTAAGGCATTAGCAGACAGTGCTAGAAACCCAAACAGCTTGGGCATCAATCAGGCTTTGGCTAAGAAGATGAAGCCAGCTGTATCTAGCCTGAACTAGCCTGAAATGTATGGAGAGACAGAAGATCCAGCTGAAACTTTTTGGTCTCTATCTGTGCCAGGAAGCTTTCCATTAACTACTATTGTTTCCAGTGAAAAAGCACTCTAATCAAGAAATGTCACTTTCCCTCAGCTGCTGGGATGGCACATTCCTTTTGCTCCATCCCATTTCCAGACAATGAAGCTGTGGTGCTGCTTTCAAGGAACTCTCATCCTTTGAATGAATCAGTGCTACAGCAGAAGGGGGTCTTTGGGATAGCTTAGTGGATATTGGGTAGCCACCCAAGCAATGAGAATAGAACCATGGAAATAAAAGTAGAGACAGTTTATTAAGAAAGAGAAGAGCATTCCTGAGAATGGAATTGGGGGACTCAGGATGACTCAGCTGGTAAAGCAGTTATGCTGTAAGCAGAAACACCTGTTTGGATTTCCAGAACTCACATAAGAAGCTTTACATTCTACCAACTGCAAAGTGGATACAGGAGGATCTCTGGGTCTCGCTGGCTCATTAGTCTAGCCTAATTGTTGGTTTCCAGGCCAGTGCTGCAGGGGAGGGGCGAGTGTGCATCCACACACGTGTGCACAAGCATGTGTACACACACACACACACACACACACACACAGAAAGAGAGACAGAGAGAGACAGAGAGAGAGAGAGAGGGGGGGGGAAGAGAAGTGGACCAGATCTGGGAACATCATTTGTGCTGTCTTATTAGATGTAGCCTGTGATGTATATGTGGAGAGATACAGTCTTCTAATATTGGTTTCTTTGCTATGTTAATCTTGATGCTTTTCTCCATGGTCCATTCTCCTGCTATAGCCTTCTATTCTGACCCCATGGTACCTTTCAGGTTTACAACTAGTGTGTATGAAAAGCAAAGGCTTGAAACCCAGGTACCCATGTCTTCTTGGAAGGGTAGTGTTCTGCAGATAATAGCCATCGTCCTAAGACAGAGAGACAGTGGTCAGGGGGGGATACTTGTTAAAAGGGATTGTGGGGGTGGTGGAGGTAGTTCAAGTGAACAAACAGAAAGAATCAACTCTAGAAAGAAGGAGGACAGCTGAAGCTAAAAAAAACTGTGAATCCAATAACTCTGTGGAGGAAATGTGCCTAGCATATTCCAAAGCAAAGCTGGCAACCAATGAGTGAAAAGATGTGGTTTATAAGCTTAAAGGTGAATGGTGTTTGGATGTCAACATTACAACTACAATTGCCTTTTTACTTTAAATCATATGCTGGGAGGTGGTGTGGACAATGGCTCTATATCAGGCAATATGTTGTCTTTACGTGCTTTAAAGTTGTCCCAATAACTGTGACATAAGTAAATGGGGAAGCAAACAAAAAGGTTAAGTGACTTATCCAAAACCATACCTGTGGCATAGCTGAGTCCTAATAAACAGGTTTATACAAACCTTAAGAGAAATTTCAGCAAGCTAGTTGACAAAATTTGTTTGGAGCCTAATGTCAGGACCAGCTGGTGTATTAATCTGGTGTTATCATTCCTCAAGCCAAGAAAGATTTCTGATTGTGCAGTTTGACAGGGAAGAAAACTTGGGTCCACTCATTTGATGAGAGGAGCTAGGAATAAAGTCTAAATCTGTCCAATTGTAGAGCCCAGGTTCCAAGAGGTACATTCCTTTGATGTTTACCAGTTTGAAAAATCAAATCAAATATTCCTAATGACAGGGTTTCATAACAATGGCTGTGCTTAAGAATCTCTTGGGTTTTTCTTTTCAATTTTAAATTGTTATGTGTATGTATGTTTTGTTTAAATTGTTATGTTATGTGTGTTTTGTTTAAATTGTTATGTGTATGTGTGTTTTGTTTAAATTGTTATGTGTATGTGTGTTTTGTTTAAATTGTTTTGTTTAAATTGTTATGTGTATGTGTGTTTTGTTTAAATTGTTATGTGTATGTGTGTTTTGTTTAAATTGTTATGTGTATGTGTGTTTTGCCTACATGTGGTAGATATTTGCATACCACCTCCATGCAGTATCAGTGGATGTCCGAAGAGGGCAATAAATCCCCGGAGACTGGACTTACAGATGGTTTTGAGTTGCATGTGGATGCTGGGAATTGAACTCAGGGCCTCTGGAAAGAGTAGACAATGCTCTTAACTGCTAAACCATCTTTCCAGCCCCTGCCTGGGGCAGTATTAGTAACAAAACACTTCTTGAGATTTTTGTTTAATTTCCTGAGCATAAGTCTCCAGTATTTTTCTTAAGCTCCCCATTTTCCTCCCTTCTCCAGTATACACTAGGAACCAATGTTAGGGGTAGCAGTTCTTAATCAGGGGTTTGCCCTGCCCACCTCCTACCGTCCTGTGACATTTCGTAATAATCAGAGATATTGTTGGATGCCACAAGCAAGGGTGGCTTCTAAAGGATTAGAATTATAGATGCTGCTAAACGACCTATAGTACAAGTAAAAATAGTGCCTGATTTTTCTCAACACACACAATAGCTGTATCCCTTTTAAAATGCTAATAGTTTTAAGGTTGACAAGCTCTCCTCTAGCACCATCATTTCGGGTACACACACACTGATGATGTGAAACCATAGGTCCAATCAGACTGCTGCAGACCCCCACCGCGGATACAGAACGCATGCGCCTGTGCCTATTCCAACCAGACTGCAGCATACTTTAGTTGTGCAGGTCTACAATTTGGTGCATTGCCTGCGGCTGTGCGCATGCGTATGATGCTCTGGGTGTCAGTATCTAGGCCAGCGTTTGGGTATGAATCACTCGCGCAGCCATTTCCTGCAGTTGCGAGCTCAGGCTACGTTGCCGGCTGGGAAATTAGACAGGGA